AGACAGTGTAAGATTGGTGAATGGTTCGAGTCATTTGAGTCTCACCACCGATTCAATATGGCCCTTGAGCGTGTGAAGTTCCCGCAACCTATAAAACATAGAGCATGAGACAGAGAGAAGACGATGAAAAATTGTTTCTGATTATGTTCAAAGGCTGGAGAGTTGGCTTCAAACTACTTACCTAGCGATTTGGGCTCTCCTCTTGGCTTCTTCAGCCATTTGGTTAAGTTCGTTGAAATGGGTTCAATATGTGAACATCTTAGTATCTGGTGATTGTAGCCCGTGGAGCGTTCTTTGTGCGTGCGCCCATTGCAGCTCTCTTTGTTCTTTCCCGAAATCCTTTTGCCTTGTGAAAGCAATCTATGGAAACGCAAGAAAAGCGATTAGAAACATTAGAGAATAGAAAAGCTATTCTTGTTCTGATACATACCCTTTGTTCGATGACAAGACCCAAACTCTGCCACTAAGAGCGTAGCGGATGAAGAGCTTGATGAAATCAAGAGGGATATAGAATGTGATGTTATAAAGCCAGCCCATCCCCAACCGATTCCTTCTATCGCAGCAAAGCTCCAATTTGCATAGACTTGCGATTAGAGTAGCCACCTGTTTTGGAAGCAAAACGATATAATGATTGACAAAATAGGACCCAAAGCTCAAAACTTTTGAGGTTCTGCATTGTGCCCTGATCACACACAGTTAGTGAAGTTCCGGACTTACCAACTGAGCGAGGATAAAGGCAAACACAAGCCACATCCCGGGATGTTCCACAAAAGACCAGCTTCGCGATCGAGTCACAAAGATAATACTAACGGAAATCATCATGTGCTGTTTTCATAAGTGTCGCAACTCCAAAGGTTCTCTGAAAGAAAAGCCTGATTGCTAAGATATCCGAAAGAATACATATTGGTTGAGCTGAGATTAGCTGTTAATGAAGGTATTAAGAAAGCAACTAAAACCAACGAAAGTCATTTCCAACAGCTCATCTTTTCCAACATGTACCCAGCATCAGCTTTCTCTATGAGATCATCAACAGGTAAAGCAACTATAGACTCATCCCCAAGCAAAGCGGATGGTGGGTACATGTTGGTTCCTATAGCCAGTTGGTCCCCCAAAGAGAAGCCTCAAGAATTTTATCTTCACAAGAAATGCCAAAATGAATAAGGATCAGAGAGTCAGTCAGTAACTAAATGATTTTTTTGTTTTTGTTTACCTGTGATCATTTTAACACTCACACCAAGATTCAAAGCGCTTCTAATGGTTTCACCACGGTCATGCCTAGGCGGGTCAAAACGAGGCATGAGACCTACAAATTGCTAAGGACCTCCAGCACTTTCCTTCCTCCCTTGAGGAACTTGCTGCAAATTTCCAAAACCTTTTCAAACTTACACTTTCAAATGGTTGCGGCTCAATATCATAAGAATCTTGGCAAGTCAGTCATCAGCAGCTTGTGTAGTGAGATCTTCTCTGCTACATCTCAGAATCTCAAACACTTGTTCAATTGGCACATTTTCCTTGAAACACATACGAAGATCCCAAAAGACAAACACAATCTCAGACAATCTTCTCCTTGAAATTCCCAAGGTAAAGAAATTCGAAATTTCTTTAGTAAATCTGTTACCAAATCCACAGTCTCTTTCACAACAGCCTCGAGGAAGGACCTCACGATTGTCCTCCATAGCACACTGCAAAACAAAAAACAGCAAAATTGTGAAAGATCCCCACTAAGCTTAGTATAAAACTCAAGCAACAAAGAATGAAAATTCGAATTACCCAGTTGGTTTAGATGCAGAAATTTGATCACTTTAAGAAAACCCAAAAATTGAAATTATATAAATAAATAAAAAGCAGCTTTTCAAAACGGCTAACGAAGAAATACAAAAAAATTAAAAAGCTTAACGGATAAAACTCCTAC